CACTAATACTACTACTACTACTACTACTACTACTACTACTACTACTACTACTACTACTACTACTACTACTACTAATGATAGATTGCATTGATGTAGCGTTCTTACATCCGGGCAAGTGAAAAGTAGTGAAGCAATGAAAAGTCTCAAGCCCTGCTGTGACAGTGGAAGACACTCTCCTGGAAGAAGTGGACTTCTTTACCTACCCTGGAAGCGTCATCGGTGGTAAAGGTGGTACTGAGGCAGATTTCAAAGCAAGAACCACCAAGGCAAGGTCAGCATTCAATCAATTATTAAACGTCTGGAAAGCAAGCAACATCTCACTGCCCACCAAGATTCGACTCTTTAACTCCAATGTCAAGTCCGTGCTCCTCTACGGCTTCGAATCTTGGAAGACAACAAAGGCAGTACTGAATAAAGTCCAGAATTTCATTAACAGATGTATGAGGAATTTCCTAAGAATTTAGTGACATGATAGAATAAGAAATGAGCTGTGGGAAAGGACAGGACAAAAGGATATAGAAGTAGAAACAGGACTAAGAAGGTGGCAATGGATGGGGCACACCTTAAGAAAGCCCAGCGGAATCATCACAAGACAGTCACTGTAGTGGAACCCACAAGGAGCTCAAGGCAGGGGTAGGCCACGGGACACAAGGAGATGTGTGGAAAGGGACATGAGAGAGATGAAGCTCACTTGGAACGAGCTTGGAAGGATGGCCTAGGACAGAGAAAGAGCTTGTAAGTGGCCTATGCCCTGCCACGGGAGAAAGGCATTGATAATAATGATGATGATATAGCGTTCTATCCCATTATAGATCTATAAATATAAGTAATTGTTAACTGGAAACGATGTCGAGAAAGAAACACGACACAAATTTTAATGTTCCTGAATGAGTTACCTTGCTTCTGTTAAGCTATGCCCTTTTATTCCTTACAAAAAAAACGTATCTATTGCAATAACAATTGTTTTAAAAAAAATTAAATATACAACACATAGACTCTGTTGTTCTAAAGAGATCATGGACGTTTTAATGCTATGCATTTCATTAAAAAAAACCAAACCTGATACAAATACACAATTGTGCTGTTAAGTTTTGCTATCATTGCACGACACCAAATATCTGAAGGGCTTGCTTATGCATTATTTAACTAGGGCACTGTCTTCTGTACCTTATTCCGAACTTTATAGGTAACTATGATTAGTATGTGCGGCACAGTGCAGTACAATACGATAGAGTACGGTTATGGTATGTTATGTTATGGTCCATGGCACTGTATTGTAAGGTATGGTATGGTATGGTGTGGTGTGGTAGGGTATGATATGGTATGGTATGCTGTGCTATGCTGAGCTATTCCTTGCTGTGTTGTGTTGGGCTGTGCTGTGCTGTGCTGTGCTAATCCATGCTGTGCTATGCTAATCCATGCTGCGCTATTCCTTGCTGTGTTGTGTTGCGCTGGCCTGTGCAAAAAAATGAGTATACTGTGAAATGATCTTGTATTGTACAGGCTATTTCGGAACAGGGTAGTCTTATTTTGAAGTCCCTCAATACTTTTACAGATTTTTATATCACAAATTTATATCGCCTGATTTGTAATTATTCCTTCCTCTCAGAAATGCGACTGCCCTGCTGGTTTCAAAGGCGTATGGTGTCAGGTTCCCGACCTTATCGGCCATATCCAAGCTGAAGGGAACAACTACCCTCTGGGACTGAAACTCCATAGAACGACAGCCACACCGCGAGTATTCAGTGACATGATTCGTCAAGCTGAGCTCTGGAAGAAGACGGTAAAGAAAAAATATGTCCTACTTCTTTTCTTCCTCCTTCTGTTCCTCCTCCTACCTTCTGTTTTCTTCTTCCTGGTCTTGTTCTTCTTGTTCTTGTTCTCCTCCTCCTCCTCCTCCTCCTCCTCCTCCTC